TGACCAAATTTCACTCTCCAGAGTATTGTGAGGTTAAACCTCAGTGTTGATTTGATGGAGTAGTTTGTCCTAGTTCATGTGACATGACAGTTTGCTGCTCAGACATTTTCAGAGGTCAGGTAATACTTCAGATTTCATAGCAGGGGTCAACTGAGGAGAAGCATCTCTTTTTTCATCATCAGGTGAGACACTTTCCTGTTGAAACCAGGCCACCTGGGATGCATGGTACACACAAATGCTCTATGTTTTAGTAGAGCCTGCCTCACATTACAGACCACAGAAACAAGGTGACATTGGCAGGCAGTACCTCTGTGGGATAAGAGTTCAGTCAGGAAAACAGCAGGAGAAAGCCTTGGAAGTCAGAGACTGCTTTCTGCGCCCCAACCTCCCCTCCTCTTCCTCCTCTCCCTCCTCCTCCTCCTCTTTCATCTCCTCCTCCATGCCGCCAACCATGGGTATGTTGGACTGCCTGCACAGTGTCAAAACCCAAATAATATTTGTTCAATGACAACCTGAGAAACGGAAGGTTTTAGCCATCCACCTAACTCCCTGACACAAAGAACACAGCCAGACCTTCTTTAGGCAACAAAGTCACTGCTTTTCTGCATGCCTTTTCTCTGATTTTTCTTCTTTAATCTTCAGCACTTTATCACAACTCAACACCAACATCTAAATGGACCCAGGTTATTTTAAAACACTAATTTATTTACTCTGTCCCTGCAAACAGAACTAATGCCAGGTAGGCAAATGAACAGAGCATTGCAGCTGTTTACACGTTCTTCAGTATCAAAGAGGAAAATAGCTTTTGTTTGGTTTTAGTTTGGAATTTTTCTTCCCCAGCAATAGTTACCATAAATTAGGGGACCAAACTGTCTTCCAGAATAATTCAAGATATAATAAATACAGGAAAGAAAAGCTGAAAAGCAATAACAGATCTTGCAAAAGGTCTAGCAACAAGGAAAGGGCTGACAACTCTGGTGTGATCACAGTTGATGTGAAGGCCTGGGTGACTCCAGACAGGCTTTTCTTTATTACTGGGATCACTTTTTCAAGCAAAAAGTGACTGGCATCAACATCCTAAGAATTGAGAACAGATATAAAAGGTAGCTGATATAAAATAACACATTTGACAATGAAGTCAATGGAACGCCATTCATTTATATCAGCTCCTTGTTTACACTAGTGGCTGTACAGGCTTTTTACATCACAGATGTAGAATTAGAGTAAAAAATAAGACTGTCATATTAAAGTGATGATATTTATTTTTCTTAAATCTGCAACAGTGATTTGGTTTACGAACTACCAAGTTTTCTAGGAATCGAGCGTGTATCTCAACTCAAAAAAAATCCAAAGTTTATTGAACATCTAATAAATTATGATCTAATAAATAAATAAAACATCTCATAAGTATCTACTTTCTGCTTCTGTAAAAAGAAATTTTTATTTATGGGACAGGTGTAGAAATATTCTTGCTGCAAGCATATTGACTACAAGAATAGAAACTAATCCTACTACACCATTAAAACAAAAGGAGAGCTGGAAACCACATGATAAATATAGAATTAATACCTGTTTATTACCTTGAGATTAAAAATAAAAATAACGGCATTATATTTTCTGTATGTTACTTTCACCCGTTTCCCTTAGTGCTTGGAAACATATTATTTCATTCTACACCCGTCAACAACAGAAACATTTTGAAAATGTGTTTTTATTCTTTTGAAACAATATGAAATAGATTGACAAAACCACAACATATACAAATCCATTTCTAGAAAATATAGATGTAACATCCCTTCTGTCTTTATTGCACTAACAATAAATGAATAACCCCTAATACACCACAACTATGAATAAAAGAAATGAAAAAAAAAAGCCTTCCTGAGAATGAGGTTTGCAATTTCTGAATACTTTTCATATGTTTAAGCTGTATCTCCAATGCAGTAGCTGCCAGAAACACATTTCACTTTGAGTAATCTCAGATGAATTCCTAAGTAAGCTTCTTTTAAGCTCATATTAAAATGTGAGTTTATAAATACTTTGGTTTCAATTTTTTTTTCAGAACTCTACTGCCTGACTTATTTGAGCAAAGTAAGCAGGACTTTTTTTCCTGAACCCACCAGAAGTATGAAATAAGTTCCTGAATGTGCTTTTAAGCAAAAACAAACACTGAAACCAATAATCAGAAAACCCTATGACTTGACACGCAAGATTTTCTCTTCCACACTACTTGTCAAGCAGCTAGAGAAAGAAGCCTGTCCTGCATATCTTTCATTCCACATGCATTCATTCCATAGTTTTAGTATGGGGCTTATTGCTGTTCCCGTTAAAGGCTGCTGAGTTTTTTTCATGTTTTCAGTGGGCATGGGCTTCAACCTGAGGTCAGTGTTTAGACATCAAAAGACAATTTCAAGAATGTACAGAATTTGTAGTAAGAAAGACACCCAGGACTCAAATAAAAATCACTTTTCAATTTATTTTCATTATAATTTATTACTGAACTATGACAAAGTTGGGGGTGGGGGGAAGGTCTTCACCCAAATTTACAGTTTAGTGAAATGTGAATCAGCCCTCCCCAAAAAGTGCAAAAAGAAAGGTGAGGCAAAATTAATTAACCAGTAGAATCACTGGAATTTTTCGACTTAGTGTCTCCATGCATGGAAAAATTAGTGCTAGGATACAAGTATATAATGGAACAATTTCAAATGCCTCCTTTTCTTGTTTCATCACATTAATACTTCACACTGAGCAAAACTAAGTAGCAAACATGTTTATATCAACTATATTTTAACACAGATTAGTATCTTGCAAGGATCCCCGATTTGAGGGGAAGGTAGTATGTACCTTGATGGGTACATAACAAGAAGGAGTAAGATGAATCTACACTGAGCTCTATACTGTAAGAATTCTTACAAGCATTGCTATGAATGCAGAAGCCACTCACTCTTGAAGGCAACAGGAGGGTTGTCAAAAAAAGATCATCTGAAGTGTGACTTGTGTATATCTTCAAAACTTAAAAAGAAAAAAAAGGTACTCAGGCCCAACCTGATGTGGAGTTTACTTTTTGTGTCTTATATATATGTGTTCAGAATTTATGGCAATAATTGAGGAAAACAACATTATCAGGGCAGGACTTAAATTGCCCTTGGCTTTAAAGACATATTTATGTGTCATTTAACTTAACTGAATTTAAAGGCATACTAACAGTTAGAGATCCTTTAGAGAAAGTTCTGTCTTTAAAGTATATATGTATGCATGTAAGCACATATCTCCCTAAAGCCAAATTTTAAGATGATAATCACTGGAAGCAGAACTACTACCTTACCAGCAAAGGGATCAAAATCCACCATCATTCTGTAGAGATGCAATTAAACAATCTCTTTCACAGACAAGTTAAGCCTTCTGATACATTGAATTGCTTCCAGGAAAGCCAAAGAGAAGCACATTTTTTGAAAATGAATAGTATAATCTAACAGGGAGAAAGGTGGGGGTTTTCCACAAAAATAATCTTATAAAACTATTTTTAAAGAGATAAAAAACAAGAAGAATCTCTTCAGGATGCTCTCAGGAACTGAAGGCATCTCGGCTGAACACAGTGTAGGCGATTACTTCAATGCCATCATCAAAATCATAAACAATGTAAAAACTGGGAACATATAACTTCTAATTCCTATGTGTACATAGACATTTTCTAAATATACCAAATGAATGATAGATCATAACAAATAGCCTTCTTACACATTAAAATTTTCTACCAACTGTGGTGGAGATATGATTTTGTTTCTTATTCAACTATAAAGTTTTCTGTTGACTCACATTTCAACATTATGTATTTCTACTCAATACCAAAGTACAAAGTTGCTTTAATGATAGATGTGATCTGTAATACAACACTAGTTGTACTGGAGATATTTCTGTTGAGTGGTTCATTTCAATCTTTATTCTAGAAAAATAATGTCGCACATAATTGATTTTTGTGTTTTGTGAACTTCTACTGAAATCAGGTGACATCAATAGAAACAGATGCAGATGTTGCAAAAGTATACATATAATTGCACCACTATTGGACAATAGTCCTACGTACAGCCTGACATTGACAACAAGATGTTAAATACTAAATGGAACATATTATTCTTTGTGACTTCTAAAATCTTTGTTGCCAGTTACAACTTTGAAACATTCTGAAGCTAAAATGTTATAAAGAAAGGCAGGTCCTGGTTAAAAGTTGAATCACGTTCAAGGTTATTCTTTATGTTTGTATTAAAGATCATATATTTATCAATTTTACCAACTCAAAATGTGGGTCCAATAATCTAACCCTTCATTGTTCAACTTGTTCTTGGTATGTGAAAAGAATTCAAGGTGAAGGTCCCACAAAATTTTTCAGTCCACCTGCTATATCAGTGACTATTGTTTAAACCATTAATTCATTACTCATACATTCTTGGTTTGTCTTTGCATCAAAATCAACAATAAAGAGAAAGTAATATTTCTGCAATTTCCTGGAAAGCCTCCTATGCCCAGGGAAAAGTGAGCACGGGGCTGAATGGGCTTTCCCTCTGAAAATTAATGATTTGCACGTGTGTATACATTCAGTTATTTACTAAAGAGCAGAGAGAGAAACATCAAATCACCCCACCCTGAAAATATGCTTGTCACAGTCATTTTCCTAAGAAAGCACAGTTTGGAACTGTAATCCATATTTAAAAAAAAAAAAAAAGGTACTGATGACACAGTTCATCCAGCTAAGGGGATGAACTGTGTCATCCCCCATACAGTTCAGCAATTGACTGAACTGTACGAGAAAGACCAGCACAAAGGCACGGAAGGGGAGTAAATAAAGATAATTTTTTTTTACTCCTTGCCTATAGGGTCTGTCGAGGACAGACAGATGCTGCACTCAGACACCTGCGTTTTGTTCTTTTGGACTGACCGATGGCAGTGATAAGGGGCAGGTTTTCCAGCATGCAAACACATGGGCTCTGCTCACAGCCACCACTTCACAGCCCTGTGTCATACTCCAAAGGCTCATCTGCATTGTCAGCTCCTCTGGTACTTGTTTCCATTTCTATTTCGAAGGCTGGACCGACCCTTTCCAGTGTGTAGTCACTTCTTCTCAAATCTATGGCAAGAAAATAAATTCAACGATGCAGCCAAGTAAATGTTTGAAAAGCACGTACACCCCAGGCAGTGTCCAACCCAGTGACTGGTGGCAGCCTGTTAGCTGTTTCCAGGAGGAAGAAAATCTGCAGTGGGGCAAATCAGAGCCAGGGGGATGAGAGCCCTGGGGGGACCCAAAATGGTGTGAGCTGATAGGAATAAACCTTCCCTGACTGTATTCATTCAGCTGATTTTCCCCTCTATTATCTCTAGCTGCCACAGACACAAATAATCAAAAACAACACCACTGCAGTTTGTGTTTCAGAATCAAACAGCAATTATTACTCTATGTAGGCACTGAAAGGAAGGAGCTTTCCCCTAGAAAAAAAAATAGATGGGTGGAAATTCATCCAGAATAGCAATCTATTTTGGCTTTGAGTCTTTTAAATCTGCCCCACATCAAACAGAAGCACATTCTATCAAATCTAACATGAACAGGCAATCCAACTAAGCAGAAGTAAGGGCTGCAGTGTATAGGACCCTATCCCGGGGCCAGGAAACCTCCAGTGAGTTTTTCCCCCACTAACGGATTGCCAATTTTTAGATCGTTACTCTTTCTCATTCTAAAGATTATTGCTGATGTTATCTGTAGTGATGACCCTGGAAAAATGAGCTACCATTTTGCAAAGCAAAGGAGACAATTCAATGGATAAAAGTTTTCATGCTGAATGCTAATATCAGGTTGATAGGCTCCAACCCTTACACAGTTGCTGGGCAAAAGAGCAAGGTAAAAGAGCAATATTCTCATATAGGCCTATGCACAGAGAGAGTGTGCCTGCTATAATCTTTCAACTCAACAGAATTTTGGTTCTTGTCTTTATAGCACGCCTAGGCCTTTGCTTCCTTGCACTTAAAAAGTTATAAATAGATTAAAAATTAATCTTTACTTTGCATACCAGGAAGTTTCAGCCTCCTGCAGCAAGAGTTACAACGATGCTTTGTGATGAAGTTTCTTATTGCACCTTCTCCTAGGTTTGCTGGTCCAAATACCATCTTTCCAGATCTAAAAGAAATATTATTAAATAATCAATGAACTCAAAATAAAGCAATTGTAGGGGAGGTAGGTGATGATGTTTTCTATTTTTTAAATCAGAGATGTTAGTCCTTTGTATAAAGACAATCAAAGCTCAGCATACATCACAAGTTTCTTAGCTCTGGGACAAGAAAACTGCCAATTCTGGTAAAGTATTAGCCTACATATACCCCACACTACTTTTCCTCCCTGCTGCATCTCAGAGATGCTCTAAAGGGAGACAGGACAGACCCAACAGTTCCTACTAAAAAGCTCAAAGAAAATTTGGGCACAGTGACATTTAGACAACATACGCCAGAATCTGAGTGACTCTGTTGCAGCCACTGCTCGTTCTCATCAAGCAAATGGTTTGGTTCCCGTTTTAACGGTAGGCACCTGGGAACAAACCAGAGCTAGTAAGAACTTACTTTTACCTTATTTAAGAACAGAAAGCCAAAAGCAAGCAGAGCCCCAGTCACATCAATATGCAGCACAGAAAAAAACCACAGTACACTGCTGACAAGCAAGGCTTTAGAATTTATTGGCTTCTTCCTATGCTCATTTCCATGTGTCTGCACTCAGGCCAATTCAGCAACATTACTAGGGGATCCATTTGTGGAAGCGTATTGCATATTCTGAATGAAGCTGACACAATTACAAACAGAAGCAAGCCATATCCACACATGTATTAGAAGTACCACATAATTATAACAGATTCTTAATGTAGTCTGAAAGATCAGTGTTCATTAATTTTAATATTGCTCCACCATTATTCTCAAGAATTTAATTGACATTCTAGACATCATGGAACACAGCACACAAGAAACACTTCCAAAGAAACTTTATGAATGCTAGTATTTATTTTAATGATATGCAGAGTGGAAACAACACATTTTAAAATCTGAAATCAATTACAGCTCTGGGAAGCTACAGAAAAAGATTTTAACTCTCTCAAACCTATCTGTAATCCACACTAACAAAATATATTCTCTCTAAAGAAAGCAGTTTTCAAATATGACACTCTCCCCTTTCACACGGGAGAAAAGCAATGATTAGCCAAACTACCATAGAAAGCTTAGTATTTCTCTAATTTCTGGCAGACACTAAAGACTACCTGTTTCCTGGAACATCTGAAGGGCTCATGTAATCAGCCTTTACTGCAAATTAGTACCTCAAACGAGGCAAGAAGTGAAATATTATTTAAGTGCCATATATACACTTCAAATGACATGATGCTATATAGCCATTTCAATCCCTTGGTATAATCTGCTAAAATGCCAGCAAGAATAGAACATACTTAAGTATTTGCTTGGGCAGGCATAGGAAATTGAGAAGACTTCACTAACTCCAAGGCTACAGAATCACTCTGATGCTTCCTCTGATCTGTTATTCCATGCAAAGTGCATGGAACATGCATGAAAAGCACAAGACAGACTGATAATTTTCTCACACTGTTGTGAGATAAACAGGGATATGACTGCAACACATGTGAAGTAATCTTTCCTCTCTACCCAGCACTGGCAATGGTTCAAGAGGAATACTGCATTTAAATTTGGAAAACTATTTCAAGAAATATGGGGATAAATTGGGAAAATAACAAGAATGACCAGCAGTCAAGAAATCACGACATACATGAAAAGATAAGGGGGTAGCCTAAAAAGGAAAAAAAGAAATTGAAGGAGAAGATGGTGACTATCTTTGAGCTTGTTGAAATGTTTTTCTCTATGTCAACAGTAGACAGGACCAGAAATAAATTTTTCAAGAAGGAAATCAGGAAAAATCTTTCAGACAGTAATGACAGCAAACTATTGAAAACAAATGCTCTAGGAAGTTTATAAGGTCATCCTTGGAAGACCTTAAGACTTGTCTGTACAAGACCTGTAAAGCCAGGAATGACCTGGTGCAGAAGAAGAACCAGCTGAACTCTTCAGGTCATGTTTTATAAACAAGGTCACTCTCCTGGTTATTCAAGGTCTGATTTTGTCTCCAAGGAGAGAAAAATAGCGAGCCCAGCTTTCCTGTTTCCCAAGCAGGTGCATTAATATGAGCTAATGGGCTTAAAAAAACAAAACACGTTCCTCCTTTTGTGCAGAACCTTACCTAACAGTTATGCTCCACAAATGCCTACCGGATTGTACCAGACTGGTCCTGGCCGGCAGGCAGGTAACACAGACTGTGCTGATGCAAAGAGTGCTCCTTATAGTCCAGAGCTACAAATGCTCACAGCAGACAATAAGACATTTCCAGGGCTTTACTGATGGAAGGTAAAGGACTGTGGGGGGCTTCATGGCAAGTAGCACCTTTCCAGGGAGGTGCTCAAGTCATTTATTCAGTACGTTTTTGTAGATTTAGCTTCCAGTCCACCTGTTTCAGTCGTGCAGGTTGCTATAGTAGAGGTTCAGTTCATGCTGATGTTTTGTCTACTGGCAGCAATTCAACTGTAAATTGTTTAGCTGGAAGTGCACAGCTTGGTAAATATTCAATAGATTTGTTCTTCAAAACACATGCTAATGAGTAGCTTCAGAGAACATGGTCTCCACTCGTTACTAAACCCTTCAGCCCATCACGACGCTTGAGAGCTTTCCAAAGGGAGAGTAAGAGACCTAGCACCTCTGACTCCTTTTCACGTGTTTGTGATTTTTGACTGCCAGTGCCCTTTCTCTCACCTCTCTCAGAAGGCCTAATGCATCAGTTCTTTCCAATTTGAAACTCAGCCCACTACTTTCCTCATCTCTGAATCTGCTCTACAGACACTCTGCACCCAGTGTCTGTGAAAGCTTTACCCGCGTGGACTTTGTTGTGGATTTGGCAAGTAGCACACGCTAAAAAGAGCATCCAGAGTACTGCTTATGAGGCAATTCTTCCCAACGTTTGGGCGGTACAGGAATTTGCAGGGATTGCACTGTGTCACGACCTTGCTGCTGTGCCTGGATTACTTCTGCTTTTAAAGGAAATCTTTTCGTGAATATTATACCTGCATCATTTTACCACTTCATACGTTCTATGCAGTGCACATGGTCAGATCTTCAATTGATGTTAAATATCCATGAACTAACACTAATTTACATCAGCTCAGGATCTGTCTGAGATATCACAGTATCAGGCATACTTTCCAAACAGACCTGTTATTTTTGTCTTGGTGCTGTATATAAAACTAAGACACAATGCACTATCATAGAGCTAGAAGTCACATTTTGCCATTACAAAGTCCATTTCAAGACAGCATGCAGGACGCGTGAAAGAAAAGACTCATTACAAGATAATGACATCAGCCACTAAATCAATGGAATTAAAGAAGCAAAACATAAATAATTTAACTATAAGTAGTGCTAAAATTTGAATCAGCCCTGTCAGTCAGATGCCATCTATTTTCTCTCGGGCTTCTAAGAGAACGTGAGCTCAAAGCAACTTCTGAGGCAGCGCAGAGGTTTCGATTAAGTATCTTACCTACAAATGAAAACTTAAAACAGATCTTGCCACTGCCAGAAATGTTTCTCTTGTGAGCAAATGAAGGTTAGAACAAAGACAGTGCTTTTACATTGTTACTGTTACTACTATTTGAGAAAGTGTTTCTTAGAATTGGGTATCTGTTAGCTGCTTACAGAATCCATCCACAGTTTCACTGCCTTACTCCTTTAGATCCCGGAATCAAAACAATATAGTTTCACAACTTGCTGTTCTGAAGATTTCCCTGAACATAAGAAAATCAAGCTGGTTTTGATTAATTAATCAACACTTGCTCTTTAACTAGGACTTGGCTGTTTTGCAGATGATAAAAAAAAACCAAAACAACAAAAAGTTCTGAAAATAAGATCTGTGTGATCAAATTTTAGTAAGCATGACAAAATTATTTAATGACAAAAATAATCCAGAAGGACACTAATAAACATAAGCTTCAAGATAGTGTAGATAAATATTATTCCTATTTTAAAGACGATAAGCTCAGTTGCCATGTGAAGTACCGTGGTCAATGACTGGCCACAGTCTTCACTAATAACTACTACAGTTTATGCTACCACTGATATAAAAAATCCACTTGAACAGTAGCAAACCAGACTTTTATCCATCTGTAGCAATACCTTAAAAACGTTTGCTAAGATCTAGTGAGCAACTATATGATTGACCTCTATGTCTCTCTGTCCTAAGCTATCCTTGTGCTTTTGTCACGGTCCTATGACCTACTTAGGGCAAAGATTTTGTCACTGTGACATGCTGTCCTGGTTTCGGCAGGGATAGAGTTAATTTCCTTCCTAGTAGCTGGTACAGTGCTGTGTTTTGGATTTAGGATGAGAACAGTGTTTATTACACACCAATGTTTTAGTTGTTGCTAGGTAATGCTTGCACTAGCCAAGGACTTTTTAGTTTTCCATGCTCTACCGACTGAGAAGGCTGGAGGTGCACAAGAAGCTGGGAGGGGGCACAGCCAAACTGGCCAAAGAAATATTCCATACCATGTGCTGTCATGCTCAGTACATAAACTGGGGGAAGCTGGCCGGGGGGGCCACTGCTCAGGGACTGGCTGGGCATCGGTCAGCAGGTGGTGAGCAATTGTACTGTGCATCACTTGCTTTGTGTATTATTATTATTATCATATTATTATTATCATTTTATTTCAATTCTTAAACTGTTTTTATCTCAACCCACAAGTTTTTCTCACTTGTGCTCTTCCAATTCTCTCCCCCACCCCACCGGGGAGGGGGGAGTGAGCGAGCGGCTGTGTGGTGCTCAGTTGCCGACTGAGGTTAAACCACAACAGGTGCTCATCGTATTTTTGATGTTGCTTCCAAAATAAATATTATATGGCTGATACACCTACACTCATAATTAAACATTCCTACAACATTAATACTGTCATTTATTACTAATCTTAGAACCTGCTTCCAAAATGAACTGGTTCTGAGTTCTAGGCAAGTCATCTGATATTTCTGTAGTTAACTGGCCTTCGTATTAAATCAGACTATTCATATTTATATCTTCCTTCCAACCAAACATGAGACACCCCTTCAATCAGATGACATGAACTGAGCAAGAGAGAGCCAAGCTGAGCACAGGACAGTGGAGGGGCATGGATGCCGGGGCACAGCTGGAGAGATGTGTGGGTTTAGGAAGAATCCCCAGAGAAGAGGACCCTGCAGGACAGCAACCATCAACACCACTGCTTCTCCTCTCACTACAGCAAATACCAGCAAGGAGCAAGGTCGCAGGATGGGAGAACGGCCATGGTTCTGATTCTGAAATTTCATGCATGAAGGCAGACTGCTACTTCTGTGTAGTCTCTCTGGTTCTTGTGACTTTCCACACATGATTTACCATTTCTGTACCACGGCTCTGAGACTGTAACGTGCAGTATGCTTAAATGCACCACTAGGACCTATTGGAAAGATCAGAGATGTAGAGACCCTCTCCTCATCCTCTTAGGCCACTGTGGCCCCATATACTCCATGAAACAGTGCCCCACCAGGCAGGGGAAACCGGACTGCCGCATTTAAGTTACTGAGGACCTCCTTCGGTGCAAATCTGTGAGGAGACTTACAGGG